GTACTTCTCTCTCTATTAGGAACCAAGGTTTTTGGAGGCTATACTCACACAGCACCACCCCTCCCGGACTCTGTCAGGGAGACGTTATGCAGATGACACCTTCTCTGGCACAACCTGGCTCTGTATAAGTATTATGAGACACAGCAGAACCCACCAGGGTGACCTGGAACAACGTGTGGGAGCAGGACTTCGCAAGGATGTGCAAAGGACTGCTTCACTGTTTATGCGGTTCTACTTGAAATTAACTTGGCCCTGGATGAGGGACTATTGGTGTCAGACTGTTTAGAATTTCACTTATGACGAGTTGGGTAAGGGAGAGAGTTACTTCCTCTTCTTATGCTCTAGTCAGTGGTGTGATCTTTGTGTCAACCAGAGAGTGAGGGACAAACCACCACAGACTGTGCTGGAACCAGAGACGATCAAACAGTCATAGGCACTCAGCACCCAGGCCCCGCCTGCTGCTCAGAGTTTGTGCTCAGCTCCCCCTGCAGCTCCTGTCACTGTGTCACCCAGAGCACAGTAGTACATAGCCGAGTCTGCCCCTTGGACTGAGGCTTTCTCCAAGTGGAAGGAAGTTTATTTTTTGTGGTACGTGGCTTCAAAACCTTTGTTGTGTCCCTTCTCCTTGTCCCTCGAGGCTTTCAGGAGGAGCTGTGGACCTTCTCCGGGGTACTGGACGTACCAGAAAAGAGTGGGGTACCCCACAGCTGAATAATTGCAGTTCATAGTCAGGGCAGCTGACTCTGAAAGGGTCACTGGGCCTTCCGTCTGCATCACTGAGTCTCCACGGGTTCGTCCTGGGCAAGAATAAAATAGTTCATGTCTCCTTGGGCATAAAGCTCTCCAATAAAATTACGGTTAAAGATTTTCCTGATGAAACAGAAGAAAGAATACACATTTTTAGACGCATTTTACTTACCGAGCATTAAGAGCAGCACAGTCACTAAGCCTGGAGAAGAGTTCATCTCTACAGTCGCCTGAATAACGTGCTTGACAGCTACTATGAAGCAATGTTGACATCACAGCAAAGAGCTAAAGGGAAGCCTGCATTTCACACAGGAAGTGTGTTTGTGTTAGGAAGCTGCTCCCCCTGGTGGACGGGGACAGACATGGGGTGCATGTTTCCTAGTCTCCTCCCCTTGGCAGAGAGATGTTCTCATCCCTGACTTTATTTGTGAGGCACATCTCAGTCCTCAGGTGACACTTGGAACCCTGATCAATAACTGTCATAACTTTTCAGATCTGTTTTGTTCTTAGGATGCTCCTGACATCACTGCTGAATCACTATTATTTGAAATGCAATGCTTCCTCAGTTCTAAATTTTATCAAGTGCAAGGAATACTACACTTCTGATGAAAGCCCTTTAGGAAAAAAGTCACACTATCTCATTTATAGTCATGTATTCCTGCATATAGACACCATTAAAAAATATGAATCCTAGCAAGAAAAAAGCATACGTGAAATTACTGAATTTTTACAGAATGATCTGAGATGAATATATTTTTCCCCCACAATTTCAGTGACACCAAGATAAGGTGACTGGCCCATATGAGACAAACAAGTACTAATCTGACACTCTCAGTGGATGTCTAACCTCAGGGATGCTTTCTGTTACCATCCATCTGCCAACATTTTGTTGCCAAACTTTAACCAAATAATTTTCCACCCACTGGGTAGGGGAACCTTGAAGATGTGGGTCTGCATTAAAGCGTGGAGCATGAGATAGGACTGTCTTCTTTCCCAGCTTTTCGACTGTTAAAGACATATCAGCAGATATTCACACATCAGCTAATAGTAGAATCAGTGTGTGAGTGATTCAAAATTATGGAGTCTAGAATCCTACCACTAATTTCGTAAATCATATTTTCTAGTATTGATGAATTTGTAATTTTTGCAATCTCCCAGATGGTTTTGTTGCAGCTAGTCTAACACCGGCCTATGAGATTTCATTTGTGATCACTAATCTATACCAAGATGGTCATCAAATATCAGGGAGAAAGCTGTGGGATCAGCAAAGAAAAACGTGGCCATGATTATACAATTTGTAACTGGTCTTTTTCTATGAAGTACTAGCAGCAAAAACAAGCATTTCTTTAGCTCCCTACTTATGACCATTCATTTTATAAAACAAAAACAAAAAACAAAAATCCTGAGAGCTAGAGGATGAAGCTCTGGAGAAGGACGTATCTGCTTTAAAGCCTGTAACCATGGATCCTCAAACACGTAGATGGAAGCTGAGCTCCGTCTCTGTGCTGGAGTTCACTCTCCACAGATTCACATCAAGGAGCTTCATGAGTCCAGAGTCAACATGGGAATAGTTCCCCAGGGGCAGATTTAAGGAATAAAATCAGGCTCAGATACTGTTTGGGTTCACATATCCCTTCCTTTCTCCTCCACCATCTGAATCCCATTGTCAGAACCTGCCTCAGAACTAAGCTAGAAATGAGTTCTGGAAAAACAGTAAAAACTCCCATTTTCACAGACTAAGAAGAAAGCAAAAATAGGCTGGGATAATGCTCAGATGAAAATAATGTATCACACATGAGTGCAGAAAGCTGTTATCTATACTTTAATTTAAAAAAATACTTTAAGGCCAATGAAAATCTAAAGCAGAAATATATTGCATTTTGGGTGACAATAGAAGACTTATAAACACTGAATGAGAATATTTGTTAAATTTGGATATTTAATGGCTTATTTCATGTATAATTGCTTAACAATAAAGTGTACCGATTTAAAGTGTACAGTTTTATAAGATTTAACCTACGTATATACTTGTGAAGCCATCACCACAATCAAGCTGGTGAACATATGCATCACCCCAAAAGTTTCCTCATATCCCATTGTAATCCTCCTCTAAACATTCTCCTCACTGCCCATCCCCATTTCCAGGCAACACTACTGTCATTATCAATTAATTTGCATATTTTATAACTTTGTATAAATGGAGACATATGTACTTTTTGTTACCTTCTTTTACTCAACACATTTTGTGACTCTTCCAAGATTTTAAGTGTGAGTGGTTCATTTCTTTGTGTTGCTGAGGAATATTCCATTACATAGATATAAAACAATATGCTTATGTATTCATCTATTGATGAACATTTTGGATTTTGGTTAGTCTCAGTATGGGGCTGTTACAAATAAAGCTGCTGTGAACTTTTGTGTATAAGATTTGTATAGACATATGCTTTCATTTCTCTTGGGTCAATATCTGGAAATAGAATGGCTTGATCATAGGTAGATGTGTATTTGACTTTATTTAACTTTCTTATTTTTTCTAGTAGTTTCTTTGTAGATTCCCTTGATTTTCTCCTCAGATAATTATGCTGTCTGTGAATAAAGATAGGTTCACTTCTGCTTTCCAAACTGTATGTCTTTTGTTTTTCTCTCTTATCTTCATGCACTGGCTACAATTCCTAGTACAATATTAAATACAAGTGGTGGAAGCCAAACCTCTTCTCACATTTTTGAAGTTAGGAGGAAATCATTTAGTCTTTTACCATCAAATATGATCTCATGTAGGTGTTCCATAGAGGCCCTTTATTAAGTTGAGGAAATTCCCTTCAATTCCTAATTCACTGATAATTTCTAATCAGGAATGAATGATGGATTTTGTCAAATGCTTTTTCTGGACATATTGAGGTTGACCCTTATTAATTAATTATCTGCTACTTGGCAATCTCTGTAGCTCCATCACTGATAAATTGTCACAAGAATATATTAAAAAGATATCACTCTCCTGTTTTACAAATAATGAAATAAGCTTAAAAATGCTTAGTAAATAGGTGGCAACACTAATACTTTTGAACACAGGTCTTTTCTGATAGCAAAACCCATGCTCTCTGTTTTTAACACTATGGATTGTTTTCAGAGAAAACTTGAAAGAGAAGACAAAGAGTAGAAAATTACTTCTTCTCAAACCCTTGCAGTATTTTAAGACATCATGTTAACAGGTTCCACATACATCCAAATCAATATATACGGAAAATAATTAAATGATTGCAGATTTGACAGTTTCATGAAAAAAAGAAAAAGACAATATTATGAAGGGTACTCAAGCTTATTCTCAGAGAAAGGCTACTTTATTTCTGGTAAGCAGAACAACTGTAATAATGTGCATTTCAGAACGTGGACTTGCCCTGGATCCAAATGAAACAAGCTTTTGTGACAAGTGGAATTACTTGTATTTTTCTCACCTTTCACGTTGAGACAAACACACTGAAACCAACATTCTACTAACATGAGAAAAAGCCATGACAAATTATTGATGCCTCTTCACTTTGTTGCTGTGTCAAAATTATGATTCGTAGACTCCTCATAACTCGTCTCAGTCACATCAACCAGTGAAGCTTATTTCTTGTCCTCTCTGTCTTCTTTTCTTTATCCATATTCTCACTCTTTCCTTCCCCTCACTTTCCCTCTGACTTCTCTCTGAGTCTCCTTCTAGGTGGCTCCAGATTTGCTCCCAGTGGCTGCAGCCTCCCCGTCCCACCCCTCCTTGCCACCAGGGAGATACTGCGCAGGTGCAGCCCCGTCGGTCCCGCTGTGCCTCTGTCAGGGCGCAGTAGTACACAGCGCTGCCTCTCAGGGCGACCCGGGGCAGGACCGAGGTGCTGGACTTTCTGTCTGTCGCTATGGTCAGAAAGGCCATGTGGTTGCTCACAGTGTCCCGTAAGCCATGATAGTGTACTGTGGACTCTGAGTGGGATTTTGCCGATACCAGTGTATATAGTCACTTCCACCGATGGTAGGGTGGTTGCAAGACAGGGTTACGTCTTCTCCTTCAGCAACATCCCTGGATTTGGGCTGGTCAATCTCAGCCTCAATCACAGTCCCTAAGGGGTCAAGAAAATAAAATTAGCTCCTGAGCACACATCAGTGTAATTCTGTGGATAAAGGACACAACATTCCCACATACTCTGAGCCTGCCCCCTACTCCACTGTTTAAATATCT